CATTCCTGTTATGAAATTATATGCATATACTTTTGTTTTATAATAGAGGCGTGTACTGGAGTATACAAAATATGAAATGTTGAACAAAGCATTAGAGGCTTTTGGTGATCTTGGAGATGATGAGGAATTGGGACCGGCTGACTGGCCCACAGTGAAGGGATATATTGCAAGCTTAAATAATGTTGATAGCGAACATGTACACCCTCATGCTGCATCTGAAAGAGATAATAATCGGGATCTTACAAATTTGAAGGATATACGCGAACGTCTTTTGAATGGTAAATTTGTTAGTGTTTATATTTCAGTCCCAGTACTTATTTCTTTCTACACTTATGTGCCATGCTTGCAAGCTTAGGCATTTATATTTCGTAGATTTCTGTAAACATACAACTAAAATGCTTAAAGACGCTTGTTTCCTGGAAAGAAGGTCCTTGAGATCATTTTGATGCATAACTTCCCATAGATCCAGCCATGGTGTGAAAATTAAAGGTTGCTATGTCTAACTGTGACCTCATTTGCTAATACAAAACCATTTCTTGTCTTAGGAGTACAAGCTGCTTACTGGAGCATGCTTGATGAGGGAAGGATTACACAATCTACTGCAAATATTTTGATGCAATCAGTAGACGAAGCAATTGACTTGGTTTCAGATGAGCCTCTGTGTGACTGGAAAGGTTTAAAAGCTCATGGTCATTTCCCGAATTACTACAAGTTCCATAAAACAAGCATTTGCCCACAGAAGTTGGTAACCTATTTCACTGTGCAAAGGCTGGAATCTGCATGTTACATTTGTGCTTCCTTTCTTCGTGCCCATAGAATTGCAAGGCAGCAACTTCATGACTTTATAGGTGATAGTCTTCCTTACTAGTTAATACCTTTTTTGGTAATTGTTCTGGCTATTTTGGAAAGGAAATTTACTTTCTACCCTACATGCTTTTCTTCATGATATTTGCCCTTGTCACGTAGGAATTGTTTTGGTTATTGTGGTAACCCAAAATTTTGATAAATATATAATTACTCTACATCTGCTGATTTATTTAGGTGATAGTGAAGTTGCTTCTATCGTCATTAATGAAAGTGAGGCAGAAGGAGAAGAAGCAAAAAAGTTTCTGGAAGATGTTCGTGTCACATTTCCTCAGGTTTGTTAGTTAAGTTTCCATATGGTGTGCTATGATGATAAGTTGTGCTGGATTCTAGTTGGAGTTGTTTTATCCAAAGTCCGTTGAACCTACCATACATATGGTTAAAACTTTTCTCACTGTATCCTTGCTTAGGAAGATTATTTTAGCATGAGATTGTCTTGTACGTATGAACACATTTGGAATTTTCAGGTTTTGCGTGTTGTGAAAACAAGACAAGTGACGTACTCTGTTCTAAACCATTTAATTGATTATCTCCAAAACCTTGAGAAGGTTGGCCTATTGGAAGAAAAAGAGATGCTTCATCTTCATGATGCCGTCCAGGTCTGTTGGTGACTGTTTGTCCTTTATAATTATTTAGTTTGTGCATCACTCTTTCGTGATATTAGAATCTTTTTTTTTAAATTTCCATGCAGACTGACTTGAAAAAGCTTCTAAGGAATCCCCCGTTAGTAAAGATTCCCAAAATAAATGATTTGATTAGTCTCCATCCTCTAATGGGGGCTCTTCCTCCTTCAGTTCGTGAACCACTTGAAGGTTCTACTAAGGAAACAATGAAATTGCGTGGGGTGACACTTTACAGGGAGGGCTCCAAACCTACTGGTATTTGGCTTCTTTCCACTGGGGTAGTCAAGGTAATTAAAACTCTCAGGTGAAACATTTTCTTTATTTCCTCATGGACAATATCATGGATGAGAATTATTTTTGGCAGTGGATAAGTAAGAGCATAAAAAACAAGCACTCGCTGCATCCAACTTTTACTCATGGGAGTACTTTGGGACTATATGAAGCGCTAACCGGAAAGCCCTACATTTGTGACATGATCACAGATACTGTGGTTCTCTGCTTTTGCATTGAAACTCACAAGATACTTTCAGTGCTTCGGTCAGATCCCTCAGTAGAATACTTCCTCTGGCAGGTATTTTCTTACTAAAAATTTCATCTTGTTGCAGCTGCCAAAACTTGTAGGGCTGTATTTATTGTCATTAACTTCTAAAACAAAAGGTCAATGGAATTAATTTTGTCTTTGGGCTTTACATGTGAAACATGTATGGCAAATGGGAAATTACAATATGATGATATGAATTTTGGAAAATATTATGGATTTATTATGATGTAACTGATTTTATTTAGTTCAACTTATTTTTAGGAAAGTGCCATTGCTCTTGTGAAACTTTTCCTTCCACAAATATTTGAGAAAATGTCAATGCAAGATTTGAGAGCTCTTGTTGCAGAAGGGTCAATGATGACCATTTACATAAGCGGAGAATCTTTTGAAATTCCTTACCGTTCCATTGGGTTTCTATTAGAAGGTTTTGTTAAAACCCAAGGTGTCCAAGAAGAACTGATCACATCACCTGCACCTCTGTTGCCCCCACATGGTTACCAAAGCTTCCCAAATCTGGAAGCATCAGGTAATATAAACTTGTGTTTATATGTCATGAAGTGTTGGCAATAATCATCGGCATGGTTCAGACATTGCCATAAGCCCGAAATATGTTGTGTAGTGTGGTTGAGTTGCATTAATCATCGGATTGCTGTTTCTTATCATCATAGCTGGTTATGCCCAAGAGGATCCTTAACCCTTTTGTTTCTGATTGATGATAACAGGCACCAAGGGAGCCAGTTTTTCTCATCGAGGATCCAGTTATCTTGTTGAAACAAGATCAAGAGTGATTATATTTGACATTGCAGCATTTGATTCTGACAGTACTCTAATTAGAAGGCCATCATTTGTATCGCATGCAGATCACCCCCATAGATCTCTTAGCAGAGAACATAGTGGTTTTGTGAGTTGGCCTGAACATTTCTACAAGGCAAAGCAACAAAAGAACCCTGAAGGGATTGAGTTGCAAGCTAATAGCTTGTCAGCAAGGGCAATGCAGTGGAGCATTTATGGCAGCATGGTATGTTCAGTTTCTTTATCATGTTTTTTGGTGCTTTGGGATATAATGATGGTTTTTTTAATATGTATATGGGATTTTGAAACCTATACAACCTTTGAGGCTCTTTTATCTTTTTGTTGGTTCAGGCAGTTTATCTATCTTCCAAAGAACAGTTCAATCCAAAAGCTTTTAAGATAGTCATCATCCAAAACTGTTTTAATTTTGCTTCCTCTCTCTTTGGAAGGCACATTTGATATTTGAAAGTCATGTTTGGTGGCAATTTAGGTCTTCTTCCTATTGACTAACTTCTTTTCTCATGTTGTTCTACAAAGGTGAATGTCCCCCGGCACACCAGAAGTTTTCCAAGAAGTGGTCGCATTAAGCCGTTACACACCGTATCATATCCAAGTATTCCAGCATATCAGGGCCCTCCACATAATGTCTCATATCCGAGTGTTCCATCATATCATGGCCGTCCGCTTGTTTCTGTCAGATCCGAAGGGGCTACAACTGTCAGAAAGAACCTTGAAGTGAGAAAATTCACTGGACAAATGAGTCCTCCAGAACCGGGGGAGCAAAGTAGAGACCCTCAAAAGAGTCGTGTGGTAGTGGAAGATTATTCCAGTGATGAATCAGGTGGTGAGGATGATGTAATAGTGAGAATTGATTCACCAAGTAGGCTCTCTTTCCGCCATGCTCCTTGAGCTTGAATTGATGATTGAACATCCCAAAAGTCCCACGATTCTAATTTATTATATCATGGGAGACGACTTGGCTCAACCTCACATTCCAGCAACCGAGACCAATCATAAAGGGGAGGTTTTGGGAAGGACCAAAACTACGGAACCAACTGGTTTCACACCGGGGGAACAACATCCGGAGCAACGACCGCAACAGTTTGGAAAATATCTTGAGTAAATGTTTCTATCAAGTTATTGTAATTTCTTTCTCTTGTTATTCTATCAAAATCGTTTCTATTTCTGAGCATGAACAAGTAGTATAAAAATCGACTTGGGCCATCAAAATTGTTGTAATGATCTCTTTCTTTTTTTCATTGAAACAAAAAATTATTTACGTGTCCTAACAGTTTTGCTTCTACATGAGAAAGAACTTTATCACATCGCAGACCGGAAAAAAAAAAAAAAAAAAAAAAAAAAAAACCACTTTATCCAATCTAAGTAGCATCTTATTTCAATATTCTACCAAAATATAGCCTTCCTTCCTTCAAGCCTCATAAAGCATTCCGACCTCAATCCGCTGAGGCGGAGGCACCCGTAGAGCAGGCAGAGCCGACCTACAGTTGCTGTGCAGAACTTCATAAAATGCCAGCATAATTCTATCAAACCAGCCAGAGTTATGGCCAATATAAAACCTTGTCTTTCCTCTAACATGAACTACACCTGCACTCCTTGCTTCTTCCAAATCAGATATCTCTTCTTGGTACTCTGAAGGATTGGATGGAAGACGGCCTGAGCAGTTTTGTATATGTGCCTGCAAGCTATTTGTAACTTGACTAACAAAATCATCTCCTTCAAGGTTTAGGGGATCTGCATAGCCATACTGAATAACACACCCATAAACCCCTTTGAGGCCAAGTTTTTTTATGACAATCCTCTCATGAGGAGCAACCTTAGGAACCAATAGGTATCGGAGAGTAGTGAACATAGTGACCTGGTGAAGGGATTTCATGTTTTTAATGTAGTGTCCAAGAGTCGGAGTGAGGCCATCTTGAATGTTGGTGTAAAAGAAGCACAATCCAGGAACCCTTTGAACACTAGGGTCAGATAATAGCACACCAAGTCTGTCTAAGGTTATCTTATGAGTCAACTCATATTCTAATTTTCTCTGTCTCCCATAAAACCAACCAAACATAATGAGGGCAAGGATAAAGGATATGGCAAAAGGAATCCATCCACCTTCAGGGATCTTAGTGAAGACTGCACTCACGTAAACACCTTCCATGACAAAGAATACACAGAAGTAAAGAGCAACCAGCATAGGTGGTGTTCTCCATATTATGATCATTACCAGTGTCAGTAATATTGTGGTGATGAGCATGACTAGACTGACAACAACACCTGAAACAAGGTTGTCGCAATAATCAGAAAATGAAAAAAATACGTCTGTAACATGTTAACCAAAATGTTAATAAATTGGTAAACATAATCTGCGACTCTTGAAGGCAAATCAATATCAATATGCACGGTTTCAAGTACATACCAAATGCGTTTCCAATGTCTTTCCCATCCCCAAAAATAAGTATGACAACAACACAGAGAATCATGAGGATGTAGTTGACTTCAGGGGAGTAAACCTCGCCTTCTTTGCTATCGGATGTGTGCACAACCTTCACCCGAGGGAAATAATCAAGTACTACAGATTGCTTGATGACAGAAAACGTGGCTGATATTAGAGATTGGCTTGCAACTGTTGCAGCCAATGTGGCTATGATAAAGATAGGCCAGTAGATCGTTTTTGGTATAAACTTATAGAATCCATCATCATGATCATTTGGATTCCTGATCAGGTATGCTGTCTGCCCCGCATATGTCAGAACCAGAGATGGATAGATTGTAAACAAGAAAGCTATCTGTTGAGGAAAACACATCAGAAAGGCCAGTTAAAACAAGAAAAAAAATATGGGAACCTTAAAGACAGAGAGATGGTATTAGAGGTAAACCTGAATGGAGCTTCGGTTGAAGTGGCCAAGATCTGCAAACAATGCTTCGGAGCCTGAATAAAACAGGGAACACGGATTAAATAATTATTACCAAACTACAAGGTACAGAAAAATACTATTTTCATTATTAATTTCACCATGCTATGAATTCAATTAGTCCGGTTTCGTTTTGTGTGGCTGGACTTGAGACTTCCTAATATCTAAGAGCATATGATTCAAACGTAATCAAGTCAATCTTTCATACTAAATAATCATGATATCAACATGATACTCACCTGTGATGCAAAGGACAGTGCCACCAAGCAACAGCCAGCCTTCCCTTCCATTTCTCCAAAAGAAACGGAAGACATAGTGTGGTGATATTGCCTTAAATATGCTTGGATAATGATGTATGATGCTATAAATTCCTACAAGTGGGGTACACAAAGTCCATGCACCCATGATGGGGGAAAAAAGGAAGCTCACTCGAGATGTACCAAACTTTTGTAACAAGAACAGAATGATAAGGACTACTGCAGAAAGCGCTTCCACCACAGCTGCAAAATATAAACCAGAATGACAAAGAAATTCAAATATGATTTAATAACTGAACGAAGAAGACCACAATAACCTGATACCACTAAAACAATTCTACTCCAATTTCCGGAACAGAAAACTGACCTACCTGGCTTCCTGGGAAATTTCACAAGTCCCACTATCACATGGCTTAATTTATTTCCCTTCACCTCCATAATTGTCACTTCTATCTGTTTCTTATCCTACCTGGTTTAACATTCCCAGCACAAACATGTATCGCATAACAACTATTGTTTCTCTTCCATGGTTTTATGATTGAATTTGAATAATATCTTTTGCTAAGACGAATTTATATATAAGCTCTTAGAAAAAAAAAAAGGGCATCTAATTAAAGGTGCTTTTGATTGCATTTTATCCTAATTTACTGGAAGAACCAACAGTATTGAAAGCTCATTGTCATAGTTCAAACTTCCAATCATGCACATCAATACTTACAGGAACTCAGAGATGGAAAAGGCGCCCTTATTCCATCCATTGCTGACAAAACTGGAGATAAAAATTACATAAGTTAAAAGAAATTTTTTTAATATGACTTTCCAAAATAAAAGAAAAACAGAACGCACAGTGAAATACCAGAGATTGCAGGTGTAAGAATACCATCTCCAATAACCATGCACGTGCCTAGCATAGCAATAAAAAGCAACACCCTTCTAGCAACTACACTTTTTCTGAAAAACTTTGCAAGCCTACTCTGTTTTTCTGTGCCCTCATCCAAGAGAGAGCGTGAAAGAGTTGAACTTGAATTTGCAGGCCTTGAAGTAAGCATGCCAATGTTCATATTCCTGCAAAGTGATGAATACAGGGCAAAAGTTCCACCTGCAAACAATTAATGTCGCACAAGTCAAATTTCTAGGGATTAGTGAACTTGGATAAGCATATGCTTCGACGTGCTACCATGGTTTCACAATTTTGCTATCTTTGAAATCGTGCCTATTTACATGCTGATCATATCTCCACCAGATAGACAAACAAGAGGTTTTCAATTGACAAACATGTAGCCATTTTCCATGCTGCAAAATCTCAATGGTTGGAAATAAAGCACAATGACAACGGTCTTTTAAAGCATAACTCCAGTATGAACATCTTAAAGATGATATGTCTAACTTTTAGGAATAAACTCAAGATGTCTCCTTTTATCCATGACTCATGGCTTTGCAATGCTGATTTTACAACTTTCTGCATATGCATATGTGAAGTTATGAACTACAATTTTCAGCTCCCAAAGTTTCCAGTTACCCTATCGCATCCCAAATGTAAGCAATGCATGCAAAATGAAATAACAAAACGATAAACTAGAGTAACCACATCCATTCACACTAGTCATTATAAAAAAAATATAGAATTTAAAAATTAAATATCTGTAAGAGGAACCAATCACTTGATGTGAAGAAAAGGTACAAGAAGGACGAATGATTTGAAAATAAAAATGTGAGCCTGTATGTACCTTCGCCCTGATCGTCGGCTTTGAGAGCAATGCTGGCATACTTGACAACCCCAATGAGACTGAGAGTCCAGAACATAATGCTATAGATGCCCAAATAGTCATCTTCTGTTGGAGACTTGAGGTGCATCGAAGGGTATACATAGAGTGGGGATGTGACAAGCCCTCCAAAGACTACTCCCAGTGTCTTGTATGCAATTATCAGAGTCTCCCACCACCTACCCATGCTTCACATCATTCAAATAAACAACCAACACTGGTGATTAACAGGAAAGCAGAAAACATGGTCAACTTAGCTAAAATTTGATCCTGACTAATTGAGTTGGTTCAATGGGTTCATGTTTGTCATAACTGAAACACCAAGCAATCTTTCAAGTAATTGAAGTATAGCATTTGAGCAGAGGAGAGGAGTAGCATGTTCTGATGAAGCTGCAATTGAATTGGATGTATTTGATAACATGGTATAAGTTTTA